TCAGTGCCACAGTCACCTAGTTTTTTGATGAGAATGGGGTGGGAGCTGGTGTCAAAGGCCTTGCTGAAGTCCAGAAAGACTATATCGACTGCAACACCTGCGTCCAATGCATTTGTGACCTAATTGTAGAAGGCAATCAGGTTGGTCTGACAGGACCTGCCCCTAATGAAATGGGCTGCCATCACAGATGTGCTCCTTGATCTTCTCAAAGCGTTTCCCCTGCATTGAAGTAAGACTAATGGGCTTATAGTTGCCTGGGTCTTCCCTCTTCCCGTTTTTGAAGATGGGGACCACATTGGCTTTCCTCCAGTCATCTGGCACCTGGCCAGAGCACCACGAGCGCTTGTAAAGCTGTGCCAGGGGCCCTGCGATAACCCCTGCCAATTCCCTGAATACCCTGGGGTGGAGAGCATCTGGACCTGCTGATTTGAACATGTCCAGCCCCCCCCACAGAGGCTCTCTAACCCGGTCCTCCCCAACCTTAGGCCTGGCAACATTTGTTCCAAGTCCGTCTGGAATCCTGGTCGGGGAGTCCCGGTCCCTGCACAGGAAAATGGAGGCAAAGAATTCGTTAAAGCGGTCTGCTTTCTCCTCTGGTGCAACCACCAGATTGCCAAGCATATCCTGCAGGGGCCCCACATTACCTGGTGCCTGCTTCATTCTCCCTATATATTTAAAAAAGGACTTTTTGCTATCTTTGATCCTTGATGCTAGCCCTAGCTCTGTATCTGCCTTAGCTTTTCTAACAGCCCCCTACAGACCTGAGCGGTGGAGGTATACTTCTCTTTGGTGATAGCCCCTGCCTTCCACCGGGTATATGCCTCTTTTTTGGCAATCGGGCATTCACAAATGCCCTTGGTGAGCCGGGGCCTTTTGGGCACTCTTGCTCCCCTTGCTTCTTGTTGGGATTGTCAACCCTTGGACTCTGAGTATTGTCTCCTTAAGGAATGACCAGTCATCTTGGGCACTGAGTTCCCCTACTCTTGAGTTCCCCAGTGCCTCTCCCACTAATCTCCTCAACTCGTTGAAGTTGGCCCTCTTAAAGTCTAGGGCTGCTGCCTTGCTGCAGGCCCTTGGCACCCTGCACTGGATGGTGAATTCCAGCAAATCATAGCTTTGCCCAAGTCTCACCATACTGTCTTCAGCCCAAAATTTCATGTTGATACATAGCAAGATGTATTTATACCATTAAGTGCAAGTATCAGCTTGCATTTGTCCTCTATCAAAACACAAATCAGCTGAATGTACCTTGCTTACACTTTTAGAAAAATAAAATGCATCTTTTAAATTGTACTGTCTGACTTCTTTAGTTTAGTACTTGAAATGTTCAGGATCACCAGTCTTCTCCAAATAATTTTTTTTAAGCAATGAACTGTATTATGTATTAAAGCCTGAAATGGAAAACTTACGCAGTGTTGAAATGTGTCCATCTCTTCATGGTTCCCTGCCAGCTCACTCTGGAGGCTGTTTCCTGAGTCTGCATGAAATGTCCAGGAACTGGGGATAACTTCAAGGGTCTCTGCTCCCTGAAGTTAGCCAGAGATCTGGAAGCCTCAACTTGACAGATGGCTCTTGAGGCTTTTGAGCTCTTAGCTTCAAGATGGAGGAGCAGACCAGGGAGATCCCTAGGGTAGTGGTGCGATTGTGGCCACTCCCCATCCAGTCTGATAAAGCTACCTCAGTGCCATCATGATGGAGCAGATAACTCTGCATGGCATCCTTAAGGGTAAGTGTTTGGCCTTGAAGGATACCACAGAGTCATCTGCTCTATACAACAGTAACTGATAGTTTCACTTATTGGCTGAACCTGCATTTGAATACAGTATGATTTCTTTTTTTAATGAATCTTTTTAAGGAAAAATGTTGACTTACAATTAGGGGTGCTGTGATGGAGATTTTTGGGGTCAATACTGATACCTAATTTTTAAGGAGGCATATCGGCAGATGCTGATCTGATTTCTGGTACAGTGTGGCGAGCTTTCTCCAGCTGGTAAATTCATTGTGGTGGAAGGGGAGGGGGAGGGAAGGGGTGTGTTGGGGGGAGATCAACCCCTCCCACCACTTGGTGAGGGAGGAGGCAGGGCTAGGCGCTGCCCAGCCGGAGGAGGGTGGGACGCAGGACAGACCCGTGGCTCGTCAGGGGGTGGCGGCTCCCGCTGCTGCATGCACCCAGGAGGGCATTTGCTTGGGGGGTGGGGGGGAGCGTATGCCCCCTGAGTCTGGGAGGGGTGGGGCATGCAATCTGCAGCTGGAGCTGCACTGAGTTCCTCTCACCGGGGGCTGGATTTGGAGTGGGGGCAATGGAGGGGGCTGTAGACACCCCAGATTTTGCTGTAGGCCTGCTCTCAGTGCCGCCAGATGCCTGGCACAGCCCCAGATCATCCCGGCGCATGAGGGAAAGTGGGGGTTGAGCCGGGAAGAGCTGGGGCTTCAATGGGTGCACGGTGGCGGTGGCGCTGGGAGGGAGCTATGGCAAAATGTGGGGTGACTGCAGTCCCCCTTATAGCTCCCATCCTGAGCCCATCCCCCAGAGAGAAGAGCCCAGTGCAGCCCCAGCTGCAGCTGCCGCACGCCCTGCGCAGATTGTGGAGCACACTCCCACCCTGTGTCCTCCCACGGTGCAAGCAATGGCGGGAGCTGCCCTCCCCTAGCCCCCTGATGAGCCGTGGCTCTGTCCTGAGCCCTGCCCCAGCTGGGCAGCAACTGCCCCTGCCCCCTCCCTCACTGTAGGCATTGATCTGCCTCCCCCCATACCGTTTCCCTCCCTCCTTCCCTTCTACTACAACAGACTTACCAGGTGGAGCCAGCTTTGCACACTGCTTGGCTCTGCTCCTTGTTACCTGAGTGCTGCGCTGTGGCTGTGTGCCTGCACGGGCATTTATTGGCCAAATTATTGGCCCCATTGAACCGATTTTTCCGATGCAGCAAATTTTCTTTATATCTGTACCAATCTGATATCAGAATGATGTATTGGTGCATCTCTACTTACAGTGTGAGAATACAGTAAATATATTATCAGCAA